GAGGGATAGAAAGTTAGGAACATCAATGAGAAAGAAACATCGATCAGCTGCCTCCTGCACACCCCCCACCAGGGATGTGCCCGCAACCAAGGTACATGCCCTTGACCAAAATCAAATCTGGGACCCTTCAGTCCGCAGGCTGATGCAATATCCACTGAACTAAACCAGTTTCGGGCATACCTGTACAAATTTTGAACAAGAGTTTTGTGTTATCAGAATGAATTTTCCAAGTAGAAATTGTTTCTAGTAGAAATGCATTTCCACTAAACAGGAGTGGGCAAAAGTAAGTTTACAGTTGTTATATAAATAACATGATAATAAATACAAGAATAAACACATTAATAAAAATAATACAAGAATAAACTGTTGCCAAACCCTGTTTGGCTCAATGGATAGAGCATCAACCTGTGGACTGAAGGGTCCCAGGCTCGATTCCGGTCAAGGGCATGTACGTTGGTTGTGGGCACATCCCCAGTAAGGAGTGGGCAGGAGACAGCTGAATTGATGTTTCTCTCTCATTGATGTTTCTAACTCTATATCCCTCTCCTTTACTCTCTGTAAAAGTCAATATATTTTAAATAATAATAAACTGTTTTGAGTACTCACAACTGTAAACCTACTTTGTCTACCTCTGTATAATGTATATCATAAATGTATTTATAACCTGAGTGACTGACAGCTTTTCCTGATAATACATAGTTTCTCTTTTGCTCATCAGTTTCATCAGATTAAAAGACAGAGACCTTAGCCCTGACCCGTTTGGCTCAGTGGATGAAGCGTGGCTGAGGGGTCCCGGGTTCAATTCCGGCCAAGGGCATGTACATTGGTTATGGAGGCAATCAGGCCTGCAGGGGAGCACAGTTAGTGGTGACTGGGTCAGCAGAGGAGGGTAGTTGGGGGTGACCAGGCCTCAGGGGAGGACAGCTGGGGGGCAGAGACCCAGACCTGCAGGGGAAGGCAGTTGGGGAGATCCAGGCCTTCAGGGGAGGGCCATTGGGGGGGGGGGGGAGATGACACATGGCCTGCAGGGTGGTTAGGGAGGACCAGGCCAGCAGGGGAGGGCAATTGGAGGGGGGAGACTAGGCCGGCAGGGGAGGGCAGTTAGGGGTGACTGGGCCGGCAGGGGAGGGCAGTTGGGGGGCAACTAGGTTGGCAGGGGAGCAGTTAGGTGTCAATCAGGCTGGCAGGCGAAGTGGTTAGAGGCAATCAGGCAGGCAGGCAGTAGGCAAGTGGTTGGGAGCCAGCAATCCTGGATTGTGAGAGGGATCCCAGATTGAAGAGGGTGCAGGCTGGGCTGCGAGACACATCCCCACATGCATGAATTTTGTGCACTGGGCCTCTTATATACTTTTTATTGGATTTCAGAGAAGAATGGAGAGAGAAAGAAACATAAATAATGAGAATCATTGATCAGCTGCCTGACCAGGAATTGAACTGTGTCCTCCTGGTTCATAGGTCAACACTCAAATCAACCACTGAGTCACACCGGCTGGGCAGAACTACTGCTTTTAAAATGTGATCCCCATTAGATTTTCTAAAGCAATATGCAATACTTAAATAGAAACTCACTTTTTAGAAAAGGAACTGTATAAACTTTACATACATTTCTAGGGACCAGTAAGATTATGTGCTTAGTAATTAGGAAATACTGGTTAAATTCTTTGCTTTTTTGTCTCACCACTACTTGCTGACTGAAAAACATAACTGAGATAATTGCTTTCTCAATTTCCTGGCAGTTATCACAGCCTTTTTTGGTTTACAGATAACAGAGGTTAACATACTATAACAAACATTTATTGCCCACTATGTGCCAGGCACTTTATTTTTTTATTTAAAAAAATATATATTTTATTGATTTTACACAGAGGAACTGAGAGGGATAGAGAGTTAGAAACATCGACAAGAGAAACATTGACCAGCTGCTTCTTGCACACCCCCCACTGGGGATGTGCCCGCAACCAAGGTACATGCCCTTGACCGGAATCGAACCCGGGACCTCTCAGTCCGCAGGCCGACGCTCTATCCACTGAGCCAAACCGGTTTTGGCTGTGCCAAACACTTTAAACCAGAGGTAGAATAACCTCTTTCAACACCAGAATAAACTTAGACACCTATTACTATTTCCAAGATAAGCCCTCTCCCACCCAAACATGTGCATTATGTTCTGAAGTTTTACCATTGCAATCCCACTCCTTCCAGAAACTGATATACTGATGGTGAAGACTAATTCTTGTTTTTTCTAACCTACCATTGTGATTGGATCACAGAAGCCAATTACTGGTTCACCTGCATCAGTCTGTTCACCTGACATCATGCTAAACCACACTGACAGATCATTTGCTTCTCTTATCAGCAAACCTCTCTCTCTCTGGTACTATCTGTGTTTTCTAGTATTGACAGCCACTAGAGAAAATTCCCACTAACACCAGCTTCCATCCAAGAAGTCCCTCACTGGCAACCCACAGGAGAATCGGCCTGCAGATACATTTGGCTCATAGTTTTGTGTTAATACTGTTTTTATTGATTTGTAGAGGAAGAGGAAGAGGAAGGAAGAGGGAGAGATAGAAACATCAATTGGCTGCCTCTTGCCTCCTACTGAGGATGAAGCCCCCAAGGCAGGCATGTGCCCTGACTGGGAACTGACAGGGTGACCTCCTGGTTCATGAGTTGACTCTCAACCACTGAGCCTCTGAGCCAGGTGAGTATGTCTTTTTAAAACAGAACTACCTTTTTACCAAATATGAAAAAAATGTCTAACTTCTCTAGAAAAATGAGATCTAGCAACCGTGAGCAAACATACACAGGGTCACGAGTTCACACTCTCCTTTGGCTTGTCTCACTCATTTCCATTATTTATTGAGTTCTTGGAGGTTTTTTAGTTTGCAATCCCTACTTTAGCCCACCTCCATTCTAAAATAGAGCTCATCTTTCACCATGTAGAAAACAGGAGCTTTTTATTCTGGCAGACATCCCATAGGAAAAGTTACTTCTCAAAAATCCTTCTCTTCCTGGAAAAACAAATTCTATTGTTTTTCGTAACAGTTCTGTCCACGAGACCTTTGCTGTCCAGAAGGGTTATTCTTTAGCCAATCAGTACCTTCTAAAGATCTTGCTCAAAAGAACAGCATGATTGAGTCAGATTTAAATTGCATAATGTTCAGCTGAAACTGGTTTGGCTCAGTGGATAGTGTCAGCCTGCGGACTGAAGGGTCCCGGGTTCGATTCCAGTCAAGGACATGTACTTTGGTTGCGGGCACATCCCCAGTAGGGAGTGTGCAGGAGGCAGCTGATCGATGATTCTCTCTCATAGATGTTTCTAACTCTCTATCCCTCTCCTTTCCTCTGTAAAAAAATCAATAAAAAATATTTTTAAAAACATCCCTTTAAAAAAATTAAAAAATTGCATAATGTTCAAATAAAAGCACCTCTATCTAGACCTTTAGTCTGTTATGATGAAATGAGTAAGCCCACAAATGCATGTTATTAGTTGAATTCAATAATTAAGTGCCTCTTTCTGAGTGCCATGCAGCATGCTAGGTTTTAGGAATGTAGTCTAGAAGACACAATCCTGCCTTCAATGAAGCTGCAGCCAAGTAAATAGGCAACATTAACAGCTAAGTAGCTGGTGCAATGAAAGCACATATGCATATCATTATGAAGGCTCACGGATGCATAAAAGGAAATAACCTCTAAACCAAATTTAAGTGTTTGGAGGCAACCAAGTCAGAGAGATAAGGAGATATGGTGTTCATGAAGAGATGACAGTTTGAGCCGAGTATCCCTTTCCACCTCTGCAGTCAGTTGGACATCCGAGGGCTCCCAGACTGCTAAAGGGTGCAGGCTGGGCTGAAGAGACCCTCCCTCCCACTAGTGCACAAATGTCATGCACTGGGCCTCTAGTGTAATTATAAATGGTTTGTTTTGGGTAATGAGTAACTCACTGACCATCTCAAGCTGTTACAAATAAACTGCAATGAAAAATAGCAGTCACTTCAGACTATTAGAAACTGTAACTTTGTGGAGAACCAATTATCAGGAAGGTTCTATGAAGAATACAGGTAGAGACCTACCCTGTTCTATCTACTGATAGAACACTGGCCAGACTGAAGGTTCCTGGGCTTGATTCTAGCCAAGGGCACATACCACAGTGGCAAGCTCTATCCCTAGCTCTGGTCAAGGTGCTTTTTGAGGCAACCAATCTATGTCTGTCTCTTCCTCTTCCTTTCTCTCTCTAAAAATAAATGGGAAAATATCCTTAAGTGAGGACTGACCTCCCTCCCCAAAAAAAGGTAAAAATAGGATTCAGTAAAATGAACACTTGTGTGCATTATCAATTTAGGGAAAGGAACATCTTACAACTGGGAGAAAATGGCAAAAATATTATTTACAGGAAGGTCACCAAGGAAAAAAAGGGTCAGAGGTATACTGGAATTTCCATAACATCTTAATGTAGCTTAGATGAATATAAAGAATTTATTGTAGTATTAATTTGACCAAGTCAGGGCCAATTATGGTTCTTGAATCCTACCATTCCACATCACCATGCCAAAAGTGATGAGAAAATGGTGACAGCCTCAGGTGATTTGCAGATTGTGGATGCTTCTGGAAATGGAGCACAAAGCCACAGCTCTAGTAATGCTATTTTATGCTAAAAACTAAAGGCACTCCAATTCCTACAGAAAAGGAGTATTGCTAATGTATACAGACCTTTATGTTAGCCTCAAATCACCCTATCCTATTCTCTGCAACTTTCATTTACACATGATGTAATACGCATATTGACCATAATTCCCAACACAAGATGGGACCAGATAAGGGCAGTTGTGGGGGACCAGGCAGGCAAGGGAACAGTTAGGCACTGATCAGGCTGGTAGCGGAGTGGTTAGGAGGCGATCAGGCAGGTGATCAGTTGGGAACCAGCAGTCCTGGATTGTGAGAGGGGTACCAGATTACAGAGGGTGTGGCTGGGCTGAGGGACACCCCCGCCCCCCCCCCCCTGCCAATTTATCCCAAGCCTAACAATGCCTCAAAACCTAGTTCAAAGCCCAACAAACAGCCCTTAGAGCAACTCAAAAAAACTTTAGTACCCTTTGTTTCAGTTTAATTATATGGTGCCATAAACTGAGGAACATCTTTTCTCCCCAAAGGCACAAGTAGACTAAAATTCAATATAAGTAAAACACTATTTTTCTTTTATACTACCTCCCAAATGCACTACATCAAAATGACAAAAGGAACTATTATTTGTTATAAGTTTTTATTAAAAAAAAAAGCCCACAAAATGCAATCGCCAGTTTGAATGTTAATTTTAAGCTAATAAGTCAACCTTTATATATATATATCAGTGATTTCATTTTCTTACATTAAAAATTATGCCACCATATCCTACCACTCCCACCAAAAACAAACAAAAAAACCCCACAAAAAAACCCCACAAAAAAACCCCGTAACGTTTTTGTTTAGCTAGACCACTTAATCACATACATGATCTAGCCATTCACCATCTTCCCTTTTGTTCAGGTCCCCCTTACCATCATGTCTCTTGTATGATTTGCTCTTCATTTCCCTCCATGCCAGTACAATACTGGCATGAAGCCTGGAGACTAAACTGAGGGAAGGGCCCTCCTTCCTACAATCCATTGGGATCTTGTGGCACTTCAAAAATTAATGGAATACTACCTTGGAAAGAAATGAGCATACTACTCAGAAATAAGTCACCTTCCTTGGTTGAAGCAATTACATTTAACTTCCATATACCATCCTTTTTGCCCTCAAGGAAAATTGGTTTTGGGGAGGAAGGAAGACAAAGAGATAGAGAGAACTGATATGAAATACATGGACTGGTTGCCTCCTAGATGCCCCCTGGCTGGGAATCAAACCCACGACCTCTGTGCAAGGGATGACGCTCCAGTCAACTTAGCCACACTGGCGAGGGCGTTCTTCTTTCTTTGCACACAGGTTTATTGTTCCACTTCATGGATTCATTGGTTGATTCCTGTATGTACCCTGACCCAGGAATGAACCTGCAACCTTGGCAGTTAACAATATTTTACTGCAATATATCGATTCCTACAAATATTCCACAAAGAGCACAAATAACCCTCCCCCCCCAGTTTTTATAATCAGCTGCCTATTTTTCATTTTTAATTGGAGCTAGAAAACAAATGTTTGTAAATTCAAAGTTGTCATTGGGTTTAAAAATAGGGACATCTGAATAATAGTTCTTGAAGATAACCTTGAAAAAAAGCTTTAAATATAAAATTAGTATTTTAAAGCACCATACAAAAGAAAAAAAATAACCAAACCAGACAAGGAGTAAGGTACATTCCAATTTAATCATTGTGAACACTAGTTTATAAAACTGCTGGCAAGACAGACAGACATTAGGTCGCAAAGGAGATCCAAGAATTCTTGTTCATGTCTACATATTATCTTAAAACTATGGAAATTTGGCTACTTTTTTTCATCACTATCACATGCATTTAAAGTTAAATACTTACCAAATTTTCAATGTCTGCTTATCCTTGCTAGGAAAGGACAGAGTTCCTTAGAAATTTACTTCAGTTTAAATCTTAAAGACATAAATTGAGGGTCCATACATTGTTTAGTACTTTATCTAGAAGAATGCATCACCATTATCACATACTCAGGTACCAATTTTCTGATTTTAGAAAACTATCATTGTTCATACTAAAAAGCATTAGGAGTTGATTTTTCATTATGAGTTTACAAAGATCAGCAGGAGATATAAATTAAAAACATCCTTAGTGTATATATATATATATATATATATATTTATGTGGCTCAAGTCTAGAGGGGAAGGTATTGAACGGGGTACAAATTAACGAAAAATATATAGAGGCTAATTTTCACTATTTACAGTCCCAGAAACCACTATTTCTAACTCAAGGTTAGCTATGTAAGAATGCACTGGAAATTTTGAAGTCGCAGTCAAAATTAATCAATTAGCCTCACTCAAAGAGAATTAACTAACCAACTTTACCATATTTCAGGCCTGCCTCCTTCAACCTTACCCTCCGCTTAATTGCTCACAAAACACTGGAACAACAGTTTCAAGAACAGACAGGAATTCTGGTATTTAAATTTTATATCTATACAAAGTGAGAACCAAAAGAAATTTTGGTTGTCAACTAAAAAGAAAATCTTAAGCTTAAAATCGTAAATGCTAGATAGTTTTGAATAAAACCCCCTTTTTCCATCTCACCAAAAGGAAATAATTTGTATAAAAAGTTTTTCTAGTTAGTCTGTTAAGTGAAAGTCAGAAGAAAAAAAAACCCCGAACCTATATTACTACAGAAATATCAAGAGGTAAAATAATCACCTTAACATTCTCAATTCAGATAATATCTAGAGTGCAGTCCTAGCCGGTTTGGCTCAGTGGATAGAGCATTGACCTGTGGACTGAATGGTCAGGGGTTTGATTCTGGTCAAGGGCACAGCCCGAGTTGCAGGCTCTAATCCCTAATGTGGGGCATGCAAGAGGCAGCCAATCAATGACTCAACACTGATGTTTCTATCTCTCCCTCTCCCTTCTTCTCTCAAATCAGTAACAAAATATATTTTAAACAATAATAAAGAGTGCAGAAATTTAGATTGCCCACTCTTTGAAGTTTCCACTTTCTGTTAAATTTAAAAGAAAAGCTGTGATATACAAAAGTATAAAATAGTACTCACCAGAATGGCAGCTTTAAAGAGATGGTTTTAAGGAAAACCATTTCCACTGCATCTACACCATTTCTTATACAGTTTAAACTGTGAAAGGCAATAAAACTTAAGCCCTTAGGTAATTTTATATTAAAAACCAAGTGGATACATTATGAAATATATCTTTGAGACTTTAAAAAAAATTTAACTGAACATTGATCATCATCCCACTTGCTTTTATGGGTGGACTGTCTCAATCAAATTAGACAACATTACATTTAGGTGTAAAAGAGGAAGCCATGAATCCATTATTGCTACAAACTGGAAGGATGGTTCAGGCTTTTATAAACTAAGTTGCATGCCTTATTCTTCACCCTGGTATTTTAAATTTTTATCAACATAAGAGTATAGTATTTAAAGTTAAAGGATATTTCTCATGTTTGGTTCAAGATAACAATAAACTATGGTAGACCAATGAAAACAATAATAAAAACTTGAACATCTTTTATAATCCATTACATCTCTGCTCCTCAAAAGAAATACATGGAGAATCCATCTAGATTTCTTGGTTGGTAGTCAGCTTTCATTTGAATATTTAAAGATAAGTTTTGTTATTTTTGGTTCAAAATAAACCCATCATTGGTGGTGCACCAACAGAATAGGTTCTAGTTTACAAAAAATGAACAAAATTATTTACAGCAAATTACTAAAACTTTTTACAAGCTAAGAAACCCCACTTATCATTGCTAAAGGTGAGGAAACTTTATGGGTTGATTCATTCTGTAAAAAGTTGAAAGGTAAAGAAAATACCACCACAGAAGTGACTTAAGTAAAAGACCTTGGATCCAAAGCCCTGCACTCCACAGGACATACCAAAATGAGCATAGAAACTTTCACTGTCTTTTCCTTTTATGTACAATATGTCTATTTAGGTTTAACCACAACCAAATAATAAAGGAGTAGTATTACCCTTTATTACAACGGAGATTAGCAAACCTGAAGCTAATAATTTGCCCAAGTACTGCTTTTTGAAAGTGTCCAATGGATCTATTATTAGTCATACTCACATTTAAGCAACTGCAGCTTTCTTCCTTGTGTGGGTTATGTGGATATGTTTGAAAAAAAATAGGAACATCAGGTACTTACAGATTAAACTAACCTGTACTGGCAGGGCTGTGGGGTTTTTCTTCTCTACCAGTAAGTAGCAAATGCTGAAATTCTGCTGCTAGTTAACAAAAACACAAATTGTATTAAACTGAGGAGTTCAATCCATACTTTAAAAGTCAATGTGCATTAAATTTCCTCAGACCCTGACATTATACATTAAAAAAAAAATTTCCCTGCATCTTACAAAAATTACCTTACATTGGCTACTAAATGTAGTGACCTTAATGGAATGAATTAATAACACTATATCTCTTGGACACAGCTCAATTTTAATAAAACATAATGTGTATTATGTGAAAATTTTTCTTATTCTAAAAGGGGGAGGGGAGAGTCCTATATCCAGGGTGGGGAAAAAAATCTCTTAAATGTTTTAATGTATATGTAGAGAGACACCCCACAGAGGCAATTTAATAGTTACTAATACTAATTCAATTTTTCAAAAAATTGATTTCACTTTCTTATGTTAAAGATTTAAAAAATATGGGCTGGAAAGTAAATTCTATTGCTTCTCCTAGAAGTACACAGAAATAATAGCTAAAAGGGAGGATTTGCTCACTACACGCCCCTTTATGTTTTTAATTCAAACTTACAGAACTTTAATAACTCTTCTGTTGGATCACTTGGGTAGTTAGCAGTGTTGTTTTATGAGTAGAGACTGGAAAATAATGCTGCAAATCTTTTCTCTTTGACTATTTATAAATAAAATGTTGAGAATGAGCTACATTATAACATGATTTGATGAAAGTATTAATAATAAATGCAAAATAAGAGAAATGCTGTTCCTTCATTATATTTAAAGTCCTTAAGTCTAGCAAAACTATACAATGGTCTCTCTCCCAAATAATCACTATTAGTCTATGTGTAGTACACTGGGGAGGACATATCTTCATTTTTATCAATGATGGGCATCAATGAATTTCATTGTCAGTTGCTAAAAATTAACCAAAGGTGAAAACATAGATTCTTTAAAATCCCAGACACATAAGAATGCCAAAGAGATTGGAGAATTCCAATAAAGGACTTCTCCTTTTTACAAACACAGCATTATACAAACCCTGACCAAATACACAGCATGCTATTGAAGCTGTGCCATATCACCACTTTACACATCATTACAGCACTTAGTATTAACCAATCATTACAAGTTTACTCATATGTATCTTCTATGTAGTTAATTTCATCAAAATAAAACATATACACAAACATACTCTCACAATATAGTTGGTGATCACATGCCTCCTAAAGAACCTAACATAAAAGTCTTAATTTATAATGTCCAATTTGCTTGAAATAGAAATAGTTCAAATTGGCTTCAAAGATCTCCTTCAGATCTCTAATTTCTGCTCAATATAACTCCTATTATCTTACTTATTGAAATATATTTTCCCCTGAGGATACATACTAATTGAATAGATCTAGAGATGGTTTAAAAATATGAAACTATTAGTTTTAAGCTATTATTTTCCCAGAGTTGGTAAAATGAGAAGCTTTTTCTTTTATCGCCAAATTATGCAAGCAAGAACGTATACAGCCCAGGGGAGAAAAACAATGTTAATAAAATACAATTATCTTTTGAGCCTTACTAAAGAAATTTTTTAAAAATTCTACTTTTAAAACTTATTTCCCAACAAAAATGTCAAGAATATGAAAACACTTGGAAAGGTTGAAGGTTAGGGAGGTTAAAGTCCTGCCTTTCCCTAGATCCTATGTATTATTTTTAAATAAATCCATAATAGGGGAAATCTAGAGCTAAGATATTAGTAGTTCTGAAAAGTCAGCATTACAAAATTGTGAATATTACCATGTTTACAACAGTATATACATCACTAAAGTACCTTCTTATTTTGCCAATAAATACCACACAGAAAACTTAAATAGTTTCTATGCTAGAAAAACAAAAGGTTATTTATTAAAATATGACAAAATACTAAGGGTTAAAAAAAAGCAGTATCTTTCACTAATATTCAAGCATGAGATAGCAAGCAGAAATATAATTGGGGAAATGTTTACTTACAAAAATCTGCTTTATAGTCAAGAGTTTTCGAACTGAACCCCTCCCTCATTTTAGAAGACTTTTCCATAGTTATAGTGAGATAAAACAGTTTTCATTTTGAAATTACAAACAGGTAAATACCACCTTTTAAAAAGACATGCCTATTTATACAAATTTTAGGGTACATGTTAAATTTTTTAGAATCTCCTAACCAATACAAGTATATATTTTATTTCAATGAAGAGGTTAACCTCAACATTTCCTTATATTTATCAAGTTTTCCCAGTGGCTGAAATAAACACTCGAAAGTTATGTAATTATTAAAATCGTATTTGAGTCACAGAACTATAGAGATATCAAAGAAACTGAATCTTAAATTAGATATTTTGTATCATCTTCAACAAATTATGCCACCCGTAAGAAAACCCCTCTTACCTCTGGTACAAGTAAGTAAGTAAAGCCTATTTGAATGATATTTATTTCAATGACCACTATTAGAAGCAGCAGCTTCGCTCTTAAAATATTTCAGTATATTGGGAAATGGTGATACAACAGAAAACAACTCCAAATATGGAGTCTTAAAATGTATAATTATTGAGTAGATTATAAAATATTTCAGTGGAATACTTCCAGGACAAAATTCTCCTATTCAAACATTTAAATATATTCTCCCATGATTCAGTTACAGAGAAAAGCATGAAAGTTAATTAACCAGGTGAAAACTTGGAATTCAATTAATGTATTTTTTTCTTTATGCTTCCAAGAATTAAAACCATATAGAAACACAATACCAGGTTTGTGAGAAATGTTGTACTATATGTTAATTGTTACTGTTCAGATGAAAATGCTATCTGGATAGAATGGTGACTCAAACACAGGAAGAAACAAAATCCAGCATTGCGTTTTGGCCTCTCTTCCAGTTCCCTTTTACCCCCTACAATATACAGGCATAAACACATCTTTTCTCGCCAATTTAAACTTTAGTTGGGAAACAAACATGGATACTTCTCACATATGTAGATTGTATAAGATATTGCTAAGACTGAAAATAAACCTCAAAATAACTGATTTGAATCCACAGTTCAATAGACTAATTTTACCTCATGGTACGACTTTCATTTGGCTACCTGAAAATTAGTAATCTAGCCATACTCACAGGTCTGTAATACCCAATGTGTAGTGTATACGCATACATACCACACATATACCACCTTCCCACTTTTCCCAGGGCTCTACATTAACATTTGCTCTAATGTGGTGAGGTTTGAAAAATATTAAAAATCACAAGCATTTCCAGATGACCTTTCAACCTTAATGTTCAATGCATAATGTTGGGGTTAAAAATGTGTACGGTATTTCAGTACTCAGTAATATTTCCAATAATCAATCTTATCCTTGAGTTTAAATTTAATAGTTTGAAGGGAAAGTAACCAGTAAGATTTCCCTAAAAATTGAAAGTGGGAAATTTGTTTGAAATATTTCATGCATCCAAATCAAAATGTCAAATTTTGTCAATTTATGAAACTGCAATATTGCAATACCAGCTTTACTGGGGCTGTTAGGTATAACATAACTCAAATTACTTATATTCAATGGTTCTTAATTATTTTTATTAACACCACAGTTAAATGTGAATATTAATATAGAGCCTTCTCTGCCAAAAGAGTATAAAAATCCTACGTTTAATTAAACATAGGGGCCTTCACCAAACTTGCTGCAAGTTTGGGGACATAAATATCCAACAGCCATCAAGCTGTGAAAGCCCCTATAAGGAATAAAATAAATCCCACTTGCCTCAGACTGAACAGGGCAACACTGAGACTCAGCCTCAGCCTGTCCTATGGCAGGGCTATAGGAAGAAGAAAATTTTAATTTTAGAAAAACATTACCCAATTAATTTAAAAGACATGCATTTTTAAAAGATCCCAATGATCTAGCAAGCAAAGGGGGGGAAAAGTAGCTCTTAAAAAAACAAAACAAAAAAACCTATTGCCCACTATAATTCTACTGAGACCATAGTTATTTTTGTTGGGCTCTCCCCCCACACACCTGTTTAATCAAGCTGAGTTTAAGTTCAGGATGTAACTTATCAGTGGAATGGAAGCACACTAAGATTATTTTCCCCAATCCTAATAGTAAATGTTTGAGATATTACTAAAAGTATTCAAGTCAAATAATGCCAGTAGCCACTCAAAAGTTGTTCAACTGCTGATCTTGTTACTGCTAGACAGTATTAATAAATATACAATAGAAACTAATGCCAGACAAATGTTTAAATCATTTTTGTTTTGTAAAAAAAAAAAAGCGATTAAGCGTGGATGCAAGGCAGAGCCAAAGCTGGCAGCCTCATTAATGTTGCAACTTCCTGAATTATGGCAATTATAATGCCTGTCTGAAAACATCAAGTCCCAAAAGTTGTTTCTTGTGAGGTAAGATGAATTTTACTTAAATTCAACTCTATTATTAAGGAAGCATGTTTCAAAAAAAGGTTAATTTAATGTAATTTGTTCCACTCATGATTTAACCACACCATGGACCCCAGAAGCAGTTAGGTAAAAGATATTTTCTAGAAACTAATTATGCTTTGATGCAAACACAAATTATACTTTGAATATATCAAGTGAGCACTATCTGAGCAATATACCTACAAAACACAAGAGATGGTGTGCTTAAGTTTTAAAAGTGTCATGCATAACACTTTACTAAGTTGACTTTTAATGAGAATTATACTACTTACTTTAAAGTATTATTTTCTCCCTTCAGACCTCAAAAAGCAATAGACAGTGACATAAAATATGTTCTCTTTGCATTAAATGCAAATAAAGTTTTGCATAATTTTGAAAGTTCAAGTCATTTTTACCTCAAAGATTTTTCAACACAAGTTTTTCTTTGGCAGTATAAATGATGTGCTACCAAATCCCAAAACTATTTCAGTAGGCAGGCACTGGAGGGGGAACAGTATATGAAGCTCAGCACAAAGTTGAAATGTATTCTTGGTGATATATACCTATACTTTCACATAAAGGTTAAAAGAAATGTTACCATTTTCTAAGAATTTTCAAACTTTATATTGAGGAAAGCCTCAACTTCAGTAATAAGGTCACTGATATTTAAATAAGCATAAACATACCCTTAAGTGATAACAACACTGGATGTAAAAAATGGTCAGTAGAAGCTATCATTATGAGACTTACAACAAAATAATACTAAATAGCAATCACTCTATATAATAGTTCTCCAAATAGTATAATGTAATAAAAAATTTCAAATTCTCCTGTTAACTATCCTAACAGGCATAGACTCTCAACATTACACTTAATATATACTAATCCATTAATAGCACAATAAGTAATTACTGCTTGCAGCCAACCTTCTAGAAGATTGCACCTGAAAAGCTTCTGAGGTCCATGCAGTGCTGCAGTCTCAAAAACAATCAGAAGGAAATGAGTGGTCTGGCACTAGGCTCTAAATATCATCAGCAGGAAATATTAAGGATTACATTTTAAATATTAAAGATGTCTAAGAAGTATTGACATCAAGGGGTAAAAAGGTGACACAATATAAAGATTTCATACCCATTATATAATGACTCATACTTATCTAAGGTTTTCTGTTAACTAAAGCACTAACATACAATTCTATATATACTGTCCAGTTCAAAACATGCAGCTAAGAACAGCCTATAATTCAAACACAGAATCCAATGATATATCAAAACTGCATTGGCAACTATGAATTTTATTATGTGGACATCTAATATGACATGCATCTGTACAAACCTTGCAGGCAGTGGTCCACAGCTGGGTTATGAATAAAAAGGCATAAATTTTTCTCTCATTTTATTACAATGAAGTTTTAACAGTACAGAAAAAGCCATATGACCTTAGTGGGTCAGATTTCGTAAACTCTGCAACATGAGGAACTCTAAACACATTAAATATTGTTACACATTCAGACTTCCAATGTACAGGTACTTGGAAATAGTTACAGCCCTCACCAAGCTAGGTTGGGGACATGAAGTCCAACAGCATCTGAAATGCTGTGAAGGCATAACTTTACAAATAGCAATGTAAGCTTACAGAACTTGCCTTTATTAAGGTGGTACGTTCATGAAATTCCAGCGCCTTCACAATATAACGAACCAAATTTACTATACTTCACTTCTAAAAACCTAGATGAAACATGAAAAAGAAGCCATACAATATAAATTGCAACTTCAGGAAAAGTTCCTGCTTTATTATTCCAAATAATTTTTTCCCATGTAAAATAAATGTCCAATAGTTCCTGGTATGTGGGAAGATAATGTTAAAGTCACAATGAAGCCTTATTGACGGAAGCTTGGCTATATAAACAGCACAAGTTGAGAAAAGGTTTAATCTCCAAACCTATTAGATTGGATGAAGCGAGATCAGTAACGGCCACCTTGCGACATTACAGGAGGTCTCATTCCCATCGGAGGTCGAGGAGGCCCACCTTGGTAAGGGGGCACCATTGGCGGTCCCTGCCCATATGGTGGCATAGCGCCAGGAAGATAACCTGGCATGCCTTGATGATGACCACCATACTGACCTAAAAAACACATTTAAAATACAAAAAATAGATTAAGTTGGTTTGTGCATTGTACTTTTAACAATAGTAACTTCTGCAGATATATTTATTTTATGTGTAGATTTAAAAAATCTGCTAAAAACAATAAACATAAAAAGAGGAATACCATGAGGCGGCATTGGGGGTCTCATTCCTTGTTGCTGTGGGATGCCTGGCTGTGGTGGCATCATAGCTCCAATTGGTCCAACTGGTGGATTACCAATGGGAGCCTGTCCTGGGCGAGGAAGATTACGCTGATATTTAGGTAACTGTGCCCTTCTTTCTTCCTAAAAATAAAAAACAAGCACGACATTAAACACACGAATACAGAGACTCGTTAAGCATAAAGGCAAGCATCTAAGACCTTATTTATAAAGTTTTAAAAAAGTATTCTTATTTTCCAATCAATTACTTTTGCCCCCAAACCAGTTCAACTACTTAAAATATTGATTCTTTAAGAACTAGCCATCTATTTTTGTATTTGAAGCACAGATAACCACTTTAGGATTTATAAATTGTTTCTGCAATAAAGTGTCTTGTGAAGAAGGTAATATGGTCTTCAAAGTATATGGTCTTCTACCTCACACTTCACTCTTTCTTCAATTAATTTACAAATCTATGTCTAACTAAAATGAATTTTAATAGTAAGAACTTACTGTCTTCTTTCAGAAATAATCTGGTGGGAGGAAATGCATCTAAGATCAAAACATGCACTATTTATTGCCCTGATTGGTTTGGCTCAATGGATAGAGCGCCGGCCTGCGGACTGAAGGGTCCCAGGTTTGATTCTGGTCAAGGGCATGTACCTTGGTTGTGGGCACATCTCCAGTAGGAGCTATGCAGGATTCAGCTGATCAATGTTTCTCTCTCATCGATGTTTCTGACTACCCCTCTCCCTTCTCTGCAAAAAAAAAATCAATAATGTCTATTCAAAAATAAAAAAATAAAAAAAAATACACTATTAATTTTACTCTGTGGTTTTAAAAAATCAGAACGGCCCAGCCAGTGTGGCCCAGTGGTTGAGCCAGGAGGTCCTGGTTTGATTCTGTCTGAACATATGCCCACGTCGCGGGATCAATCCCTAGGGAAGGGCATAGAGGAGGTAGCCAAGAAATGATTCTCCCATCACTGGTATTTCTCTGTCTCTCTTTCACTCCCTCTCCCTTCAATAAAGGAAATCAATAAAAATATATTTAAAAAGGCAAAAGAAAATTGCTTTAAGAAAAAATCAGAACAGCAGGCCCTGGTCGGTGTAGCTCAATGGATAGAGCATCTGCCCATGCACCAAAGGGTGGAGGGTTCAATCCCCATCCCTCGTGTGTGTGTGTGTGTGTGTGTGTGTGTGTGTGTGTGTGTGTGTATATATATATATATATATATATATGTGCGTGCGCGCATGCGCATCCATGTCTTCACCCTTCCACTGTCTCTAAAAATCAATGGGAAAAATATTTTCGGGTAAGGATAACAAAAATAAAAATTGGAATGGTAAAAACCACTTAGTAAGCATTATATCAGATTAGTAAGACCACCATTTTACAAATTAACACTTTTCAAATGGGACAGGCTGCTACAAAGATATTCAATCAAACTCTGCTAGTAAAAAAAAACTGTAAACAACTTACCAAAGAGATATCCTCATCTGGATGGATCAACTTACTGGTTGCACTGGTTGTCGTTAGAGTAGCAGGCTTACTTGTTATTGATGCCGCTGGTTTAGCTGCAGTGCTATTTGTTGTACTAGTGGTTGAAGCTGTAGACTGTGTATAAGCAGGGAATGTAGGCTTTGGGGGTTCTGTAGTTGTTGCAGGGGTACTACTTAAGGGCTTGAAATCTGTACCAACAGGTCCTTGAACAGCTGCCTGAGCCTGTAAAACACAAATTTTCATCAACAAAACCCAAAACTATCTACTACCAACTTAAAAATAAGACACCAACATTCATAAAGGACCAAACTCTAAATGAAATTAAAACAAAGTTAACATGATAAATGCTCCACAAAAATCAAGAAATACATATCAAGAAATAAGAATATCAAAATATGCTGGGTCAAGATCACATCTAAAACACAGCATTGGAACACCAAAAGGTAAGAATATTTAACTTCTCAGGTGTCATCTACCTTCTCAACCAAGTTCTTTCATTTACAAAACTTCGTATTTATTCCAGGTTGATGAAATATAGTAGTATTATCTAATGAGATAGCTAATGTTCTACTTTTACTATTATAAATTAGTTGTTTAATTAACATACCAAGCAACAACAACAAAAACCCCAAATGGTTAGAAATTACAAAATACAAATGCTTGGATAAATTTCAGTTACTAAGCATAATTAATATAAATCGTGGACACATTAAAAATGTCCTTCAGAGGTTATTAGTAATATAGTAATACAATGTCCTCCCAATTAACAATGGCTAGATGATTATCATGATCAAAATGGTTTAGAAGGATCTTTTTAAGTATAAAATTACCAATAATTAATGTTACTTTTTTGTAATATCCAACATCTTAAACACAACTTTAGAACCAAATTTCCTTACATTATTGATGCACTCGATTAAACAGCATAAATAAAAATAGCTTAATCATGCATCAGGCTAACCATTGGCTACTATAAGGCATTTACTGCTTACATGCTTTTAACCCTTTAGAACCATAGAAATTTGGGGTTCATTTTTTTTTCTGAGTTCAATTTTCAAATATGGTTGATTTGTACTCCATTAATCTTAATTAATAAAAATTACATAGTATATTTTTAGGGAAAAGATTTCGTTTAAAGGTAGGGTCCAAAGGGTTAAGTTATAAAGCCATTTTAACAACTTTAAACTGCAACTTCCTGCGTACTTGTGCTGTGCTAGGAAACAGAGCTTTAGAAGATGCAGACAGACTTTCTGAATTGGATGAAGCTGTACTTGAGCTTGTTACAGGTGTCCCCATCTGTAGCATAAAAGAAAGGAAACAATGAAAAGTCTCCAAACAAATGGGTAAAAATAAGCCATGTGGTAGACTTTTTTTTTTTTTTAGCACAGATTGCATATCTGTAAATGCAAAATATAATGCAATCAAATCTGATTTATTTAATGAGGCAGGCAGTTAATGCATTTATAATAAAGTAACAGTAGGAGCCTCAAAAAAGACTTAATTCTACACCAATAAACCTAGTTAACCAGTTTCTTTTCTAAACTAATGTTTTGCAATGAGATATTTCAAAAACACCTTAAAAGGAGAGTAAAGATTGACACTTTAATCCAATTCTCTATCAATGACACAACAAAATTTTTTTGCTAAGTTTAACATTTCTTAATAAAATACCTACTCACCTCAAAAGCGTAAATTAAGGTGCTTCAAAAGCATTTAAAAAGTAGTTTTTAATTTAGCAACTACAAATAGGAAAAAAAGTTTAAAAAAGAAACATCTAAGGGACAACCTTAAATTGAAAAAATAAAAAACACCCCAATTTTCTAAATTAAATACATCTGCTTAATTCTAAATGAAACTAGATAATTCTAAATAATATTACTATTATTAAAAGTAATAATCATTATAGGCACACCAAATATAACAGAAGCACCTTTTGCACTTCTGAGTTCTGGAGACAAAAATCTGTAAGAAAGTAAGTGCGACTAAGTCAAGAGCAATGAAATGTTGCCCTTTCAGCAAGTGTGCAGCATTGTAATTTGTCACTTTTGTAGGCTAGAAGAGCCCAACAAATGATTTATCAATGTCTTAGAATTTTCATCTTTGGCTTTGCTTTCATTCCACTCATAATTCAATAGGTAAAGGAGGACCACTAAATATAATCACATATTTAAGTCCCCAGAAATTAAACTTTCATTTCTAACTAAAGCTAGAATAACCAGAGTTCACAGCAATAATAAAAAAAAAATAACATACTATACTATCTCTGGCTCCAGTCAATCTTTTATTAGTCAACAAAATCAATGTATGCAAACATGAAAGACCACTTCTTAATATGCTTAATAAATTATACTAAAACCATCAACAAAAATTGACCTATGACAATTTCAGAGATTTCTGTAAACGATGACACTTTACCTTTAATATAAGTGGCATTCCTTTTTAGGAATTTCACCTTACCTGTCCGGCACTGGGGAAAAGAGGCTTAGTAACTGGAGGCTGTGGAGCAGGAACTGCTGCTGTTGGTGCAGGTGGTCTATTAAGAATACCTGGTGCTGAAACAGCCTGTGCTTGAGTCATTGGAGGAATTCCAGGACGTGGAACAGGAGGGGGCATACCTGTATAGAAGAAATGTTGGGAGGAGGCCTCAGTGTTGGAAGCATTTAGTTCAGTTTTTCCCAAAATTGCTATTACAATATACATATTAAAAATACTTTCATACTATAAAGTCACTAACAATTGACTTCTGAACTCGATGAAATTCAAAGAACTTGGGCATTTGTCCTTTGAAATAATCTTGCCTCAAAATTGTCTCCAGAATTTTGTGAAATGAAAGATACCACTAGAATAGAGTGTCGGTCTGCGGACTGAAGTGTCGCAGGTTCGATTCCGGTCAAGGGCATGTACATTGGTTGCGGGCACATCCCCAATGGGGAGTGTGCAGGAGGCAGCTGGTTTCACTCTCATCGATGTTTCTAACTCTCTGTCCCTCTCCCTTCCTTTCTGTGAAAAATCAATTAAAAATATATTAAAAAAAAAAAAAAAAAAAGATGCCACTAGAAACCCTGTATGTGAGCAAAGCAGCAATTAAGCTTAACTGATACTGATTTAGCAAACCAATTCTTTAAACATAGAGAATTGCACCAACTAGAATTCTCTTAACTATAATCCAAATTACAGTAAAAAGGTGATTAAGTCAAATACCCATGAATTTTCAAAAAACTAAGTTATTCCTTTAAATAACTTTCCCTAAAATGTATCACTAGTTCATTCTTTAAACTTCAACATAACTTAAAATATTCACTGCAGATTATCAAATGAACACTGGTTATTATTCTTTAATATTATTTTACTTTTAAAAAATACATCTTTATTTTTATTTATTTGAGAGAGGAAAGGAGAGTGAGAGGGAGAGAGAAATATCAATGATATGAGAATCATTAATGGGCTGCCTCCTGCATGCTCCAACACTGGGAATCAAACCCACAACCTGAGCATGTGCTCTGTGTGGGAAGCAAATATGCCCTTGATTGGAAATGTCTAACATTTCTTACCTGGTGGCATACCAGGCATCAGAGGTGGTATTCCTGGTCCAGGTGGCATCATTCCACCCATTGGCATCATTCTGTCAGAAAGCAAATTTCAAGAAACATCTAAAGTTAATTAACAGTATAAACCATAGAAAATATTTTGGCTAAATCCTGAAACAACAGATAAGACTTGAATTTGACCCCTAATATTGAAATCACGCTGAAAGAACACACAACACAATAAAAATAATCCTATCAAAATAATCCCCCTAAAAACCAGCAAACTCTTGGGTTTACCAGTAAGATGGGGTAGGAGTAAGTCAGTCTTTACAAAAAACAAAAACAAAAAACCACACACACAAAAAAACACCCACAAAACATTTTAATACATTTAAAGTCATCAGGAATAATATATTATATGCTATTCTCGATATATACAAGAAGGCCTCATCTAAAATATGTGCAACTGGGAAGCAAAATCACCTTTTATCTTACTTGAAAAATATCCACACAGAATATAAATAAAAAAGAAGAAATTTCTACTTTAGAGTCAACATATTTTTGAAAAGGGAAATACTGAATGTACATTGTGGGGATAAAATTATTTTGGAGGGCACAGAAAAACTATCACCAATATTAAAGATAGTCAAATGTAAACTCAGATTGCCTAATTTTTACTTTGCATGTAACACTATAGCATGACGTAAAAACCTCTATTTTTTTTTCTCTCCCCCTAAAAGAGCTCATCTTCAAATACCAATGTCCACTGCACTTAAAAAAATTTAAGTTTGTACATTCTTGATTTAGGACTTTTGTCAGAAGATTAACTTTTATAAATTGAGTTTGTTAGAAAAAGTTTGATTACCTCCTATAAACATAAAGCATATAATTTGGTAAAAGATTATATGGTCTTTCTTAAATACCAACCCTTTTTACTAAATCCCATTACTTTAAGCAGTTAGGAGAAAACAGCTCCATGTTTAGAAAATATTTGTTTTATATACGGATTTATTACTATTTCTTCAAAGATGTTTTATATCCCCTTTCAGAGACTTGTGTCAACCATTTTGCAAGTTGTAAGAAGTTTTAGTGAGGAAGGTTAGAAAATTTCTGAAGTCAATTGAATAGATCCCATTAAACACACAAGAAAATGACATTATGATTATACCTCCTGAATTACATCATGAATGAGATGCTTACATGTTTTCACCGCAAAATGACTGGGTGTATTTTCTCTGATGATGCAATCTGTGAAAATGTATGACAAAATCAAAATCTAACTGTGATTTTCAAAATACAGTGGGAAAGTGTATTGTTTACCTGTCACATCCAACAACATTTAAGTAAAAGTGATGGGCACAAGCACCTCATATTTACTTTTAGTTCTTGATGATTTGACAAATACTTAAATCATTTACAGAATTTGCTTGTCACAACCAACAGTGTCATGGACAGTTCTGAATCTCAGAAACTCACAACTCTACAGCCAACTACTTTAATTACACCAAATGCAATTGAAGCAGATGGCTGCCTACATACATCCTAAAACACAAAAATCTATTCTCATCAGAGACAGATTTATATTCCTCAAATTTATTGGTAGATCCAGTTATTAGAAATTTTAATATTTATAGAGCCCACACCTTTTAGGAGGAAAAAATGCAAAGTCACATTTAATTCATGTAACACTCAAGTTGAAAGATCATTACTAGGCACAAGTCCACAAGCCATTTAAAAAGTTTTCTTACCCAGGTGGCATGCCTGGCATAACTGGTGGCATTCCTGGCATCAGAGGAGGAACACCTGGCATTAATGGAGGTATGCCTATAAACAATTTTAACAACAAAAAAATCAAATTAATATTAAAGGGTTAGGATGAAGAATATAATACTTCTAACACTGTATCAATAATATCCTAAGAGCCGAGACCGGTTTGGCTCAATGGATAGAGCATCGGCTTGGGGACTGAAGGTTCCCGGGTTCGATTCCGGTCAAGGGCATGTGCCTTGGTTGCGGGCATATCCCCAGTGGGGGATGTGCAAGAGGCAGCTGATCGATGATTCTCTCATCGATGTTTCTAACTCTCTATCTCTCTCCCTTCCTTTCTGTACAAAATCAATAAAATATATATTAAAAAAATAATAATAAAATAAAATAATATCCTAAGAATGTTAAATTGTAAGAAACTCTATATGCTACCTGGAGGCATTCCTGGTGCTCCTGGAACTGGTGGTAGTCCTGGCTGTGCCATTGGGGGTATATAGCCTTGTTGGGGTTGAACAGGCTGTGGTTGAAATGAAGTTGAAGCTGCAGAGTCGTCATCATCGTATTCATCAGAATCATCTTGCTGCTTCTTTTTTTGACTCTCTGTTAGATAAGTTTTAATTAATTTTCCCATAGAGAAGGGGGGACAGGGAATCAAAGCAAGTTTAAGACATTCAACACTTTAAAAAATTATTTCACAATGGTGAGATATGTACACATATAATGCCTTAATAAAAAAATGAAAATAAAATAAAATTCTTTTAAGAGAGAAAAGAAAATTATTTCAGTGCTGATAAAATTTTTCTTCCAAAAATATTTCAGTTAATATTATTCTTTACTGTTCAAATGTGTTTTCAACTTATATTAAGCAACTACCCATTTTATGACAGGTAAAAATAATTCTAAGTCAGTTTTATTTAAAACAAAAACAAAACAAAACAACAACAAAAAAACAACAACAACACAGCTTTCTATTCCAGCCAAAATGGTAAACGACGAACCTCCGTGCAATATTTCAAAACTAAAAGTTCCATAGGTGACTAACAACAGCTATCAACTGGATAGTATGTGGCTGCAAAGTCAAATTAAAAAAAAATGTATACAATTAGTGGCTGCGTAAATCAAAACAAGCTACCTTTGCCAAGGCCGAGGATGCTCAGTTGGTTAGAGCATCATCCCAAAAGCCAAGGTTGAGGGTTCAATCCCTGGTTAAGGTATATAAAAATCAACCATTGAATGCATAAGTAGAACAACAAAATCAGTGTCTCTTTTGCTCTCAAATTAAGTAAAAACAAATACAAACTACCTTTATTTTCTAAGACCTCAGCATTTGTTAATTCCACTTGGAATTCAGTTTAGAATAAAATATTTGAAATTATCCAAACAGTATTATTTACACACACACACACACTCTCTCTCTCTCTAGAGGCCCACGCACGAAATTTGTGCAAGAGTAGGTCTTCCTTCCCCCAGCTGCAGGTAGGCACCCAGCTTTGTCTGGAAGGATGTTTGATCTAATTAGCATATTATGCTTTTATTGTTTAGACTAGAGGCCTGGAGCACAAATTCGTGCACAGGTGGGGGCCAATCAGACTGGGTGAGTGGGGAGAGGGGTACAGCACAGGGTGGTTGACAGGCCTCTCTGCCCCCCTGGTTGAATTCCAGGTCGAGGGAACAATTTGCATATTAGCCTTTTATTATAGGAAGATAATACATATAAAAATCAATACACAACTTCAAACATAAGACAAAGAAAAATATAACTCAAGCCTAAACCAGTTTGGCTCAGTGGATAGAGTGTCAGCCTGCAGACTGAAAGGTCCCAGGTTCGATTCTGGTCAAGGGCATGTACCTTGGTTGCCGGCACATCCCCCAGTAGAGGGTGTGCAGGAGGCAGTTGATCAATGTTTCTCTCTCATCGATGTTTTTAACACTCTCCCTCTCTCTCCCTTCCTCTCTATTAAAAAAAAAAAATCAATAAAATATATTAAAAATATATATACAACTCAAATTGGAATTCTGAATAAAAAATTTAACATCTACCATTAAATTTATACTTTAAAGTGGCAATACTCTCACTAGTGAAGCTATTTAAGAAAAAGTATACTTTAGCCGAAACCAGTTTGGCTCAGTGGATAGAGCGTTGGCCTATGGACTAAGGGGTCCTGGGTTCGATTCCAGTTAAGGGCATGTGTTTTGGTTTCGGGCATATCCTCAGTGGGGGGTGTGCAGGAGGCAGCTGGTTGAGGATTCTCTCTCATCGATGTTTCTAACTCGCTATCATTCTTCCTCTCTGTAAAAAATCAATAAAATATATATTAAAAAAATAAATAAATAAATAAAGAAAAAGTATACTTTAACCTTTACCCTGGGTTTTCTGCTCAAGAAGCCGTCTTCTTTCATCCATGTCTTTTTCTGGAATACCTTCCATACCATATATTTCCAACTCTATGTCTGTTCTCCCAGGTATTGCATTTGGTACAGCATCTATGGTCTCTTTATGCACCTAACATTAAAAAAACAAACAAAAACCTCCATCAGATAGGTAAAAGTATCTCATAAAAATATTTCAGAGAGTCATTTCAAATTACTTAGAGACCATTTAGTATGTTGGTTGAGTGACTGGGTCTAGCTAGCCCTAGCTGGTTTGGCTCAGTGGGTAGAATGTCAGCCTGAGGACCAGGTTCAATTCTGGTCAAGAGCACATGCTGAGGTTGTGAGCTTGATCCCCAGTTGGGGTTGTGCAGGAGGCAGATCAATGAGTCTCTCTCATCATTGATGTTTCTAGCTCTCTCCCTCTCCCTTCCTCACTGAAATAAAAATATATATTAAAAAAAAGAAATGCAATTACATTCTCAAGCACATTAACTAGTTTCACTACATTTCTAAGTGATAAGGGCAAGAATAAATATAATAATTAAAAGATGTTGGAAGAGAAAAATAACATGATTTACTTAGAATTTTGCATAGTATAAGTCAGTATGGTCTCGGTTGGATAGGAGCAAGAGTGACATAAGCCTTCTAAATTACTAATGTCCTAGGTTTATCTTCTATAAAATTGGAAGATGTCTGATTTAACTGACATACTCATCTCACAGGTTACTCTGAAATTACAGTAAGACTATGTATAAACAGAATCACTTAGTCAAAGATACTACTAATAATTTCTCAACTAATCTCCTTCCAACTTCCTCCATTTTATCTTCTCTATAGTACAACTCCTTGAAAGAATGCCTCTACTTTCCCATTTTCTTCTTTTTATAAACTAGGCAAAGAACAATTTGTATTAGTAAAAACTGAAAAGAGCTGTAGATTTTAACGCATGCATGAATAAAATTTGAAAAAGCAGTCATAATATAAAACAGTAGCATCACAGTATATTCAATAGTTTAATCTTTGTCAGAAGTTGACTCAATTCATTATGCTTCTTTCTTAGAAACCTCATCAAAATTCTCCACAAGATCTGAAACTTCATCTTTTTCTCTGGTAGAAAATGGTGCTTTTCCATCCAAATTGTCTGGGCAGAGTTCTTTAAACTAGTTGGAGGTCTGCATCCTGATGAATTAAGATGCTAGGTAGCATTGTATCAGCAATTTGTCTCAGCATGCCCTGTAATAGTGAAGTGTTCACTGCCTGATCTTTAATGCTGGTAAAATGGATTACTGTTCCTTGGTTTGTGAATACACTCACCTCCTCAATACCCTACCTTCTTTAAGAACTAAAGTCTTTTTATCATCTGCTATAGCTGTTCTGTAAACCGCCTTCTGCATACAGTTCCTTCCCCACCATGCACACCTTGTGCCTGCAGTTTGGCCAGTTTTTCCTGGTTCATGATAGTTTCTTTCCTCTTGTTGGAGAGGAAATGGGACTACAAGGGATACTAGAGTAGATGCTTAGGTCTTGAGCAGACCAGTTGAGAATAAGTGCACACACTCTAGGACGCAAGATGGCAGCTCTCATTTTCTCTCTTTTTTTTAGCCTACAGAACCCAGTATTCCCAGGCAGCTTCCCATCCAAGTACTAACCAGGCCCAACCCTGATTAGCTTAAGAGATCCGGGCATTCAGTGTAGTATGGCTGCAGACCTCATTTTCTTTTAAAATCACTCCTAACTTTCATCATCATTCTAGGAAATCATTCTCGGAAAGTGGAACAATGACCTTCCACTCTGATCAATCCAATCTTAGTCCTGTTCTTACTTGGCTTACCACCAGCATTTGACATAGTCAAATTAACTCACTCTTTGAAAACACTTTCATTTGTCTTCTAGGGTACTTACTGGGTTTTTTTTTGTTTGTTTTTTTAAAAAATATTTTATTGATTTACACAGAGAGGAATTGAGAGGGATAGAGAGTTAGAAACAATGATAGAGAAACATCAACCAGCTGCCTCTTGCACATCCCCTACTGGGGATGTGCCCGCAACCAAGGCACATGCCCTTGACCGGAATCAAACCCGGGACCTTTTGGTCCACAGGCAGATGCTCTATCCACTGAGCCAAACCGGTTTTGGCGGTACTTACTGTCTTGGTGTTCCTACCCTTTCACTCTCCTTGAATGACTTCTTTAAAACTTCTGACCTCTAAATGCTGGGAATGGCCCAACATGGGATCCTTGCATTTTTCTATCTATATTCTACTAGAGGACCAGATTATGAAAATTCAAAATTAATGCACTTGAGGGGCAGGTCCCCCCTCATCCTGGCCTGCACCCTCTCACAGTCAAGAAGCCCTCAGAGATGTCCTACTGATGGCTTAGACCCAGCCCCCACCCATTGTCCCTCCACAGCCACTGGTAGCTGCTACTTTCCTCCCACTCCATCACTATCCCCTCCCTCTGCCCACTGGCACAAGCTTGGCTGGCCCTGCCCCCTGCCAACTGGTCATTCCGCAGTTCAATTTGCATATTACATTTTTATTATATAGGATTCCCTAAGAAGAAAAGATATGGCTTCAAATAGCCATCCTTATACTGTGTCCTTCCAAATTTCTATTTCTACCTTCAACCCCTCTGCACTCAACTTGTAGATCCAACTGCTTATGTGACATCTTCACCTGGATAGTCATGAATCTTTTCAAAACTAACATACCCACATTCAAAATTAACATAAAAACAATATTGGGCCCTAGCCACTCTAGTGGCTCAATTGGTAAATATCATCCCATGCACTGAGAGGTCGCTGGTTTGATTCCCCATCAGGGCATATGCCCAGGTTGCAGGCTCAATCTCCAGTAGGAGGGGTGCAGGAGGCAGCCAATTTTTTCCCCCAAACATTGAAGTTTCTCTCCTTCCCTCTAAAATCAACAAAAACACATTGAAGTCCTAGCTAGTTTGGCTCAGTGGATAGAGTGTCGGCCTGCAGACTGAAGGGTCCCAGGTTTGATTCCAGTCAAGAGGGCACATGCCCAGGTGGATGATTCTCTCTCATCGCTGATGTTTCTATCTTTTCCCCCCTCTCTGAAATAAATAAAAATTCATTAAAAAAAAAAAAAATCTTGGTATCTTTATCCCTAAGCCTATACTTCCTGCAGCTTTCCAATCTTAGTTTGTAATAGCGTCATTTTTCACATTGCTCAAGTCAAAAACCTTCAGATCATCCTTCACCCCTCACTTTCTCTCATATTCCACATCAGCAAATTCTGGCTCTGTCACCATCATATTTCATCTAGAATACTCTTTGTCTCCTATGAGGCCTCACTGTACTGTGTGTGTAGACTATTCTCAACTTTGTAGCCAAAATGATCCATTAAAAAGGTGAAGCAGCCCTGGCTAGTGTGGTTCAGTTGATAAGAGCTTCACCTCATGCACCAGGTCAGCGTACGTATGGAGACAACAGATCAATGTTCCTCCCTCTCGTTTAAAAAAAAAAAAAAAAAGGCTATAATGCGGCAGGAATTTTTTTTTTTTAACCCTCATCCAAGGAGTAAGGATATTTTTTCCACTGATTTTTAGAAAAGGTGGGAGAGAAACATGACACACATCAACTGGTGTACTCTGGCCGCGACCGCTGGGGATTGAACCTGCAACCGTGACCGGAAATGCAACACTAGACCCTTCAGTCTGTGGGCCGATGCTCTTACCAGCCCGGGCAGATTGGGGAATTTTAATTTTCTTTTGAATAGCTACATGAGATTTAGTGACTGTCTAAGTATAGAGTAGGTTCTCAAATATTTCTGAATACATGTTAAATTGTTGTGGTGATGGAACTAGAGTGAAGGAGCTATATAAACTTATTTTTTTTAAGACTTGGGAGAGCAACATCTTGTTTTAACCCTTTGCACTCCGCTGTCCCCTCAGGGGACATCAAAATTCTAGCATATCACTCGGATGTCCCCTCTCAGGGGACATTGCAGTTTATTAGTGATTACGGGGAACTGAGTTAATTCAAGGCACGTTTCCGCCGTTAGCGTCGAGTAGCTGGTAGCCAATGTCCAGAATGGTTCGGAGTGCAAAGGGTTAATTTACCTCCCTGCTTCTACGAACAGTATTTTCCAATAGAGATTTGCTCATCTCAGAACTTTCTAAGGTCCAATTAGACAAAAATTCAGGCAGCTCTAAAATTGGCAATAGTAACACATAATGGTATTCATGAGCTCTTTAAAAATTACGAAGCTCTCCTTAACTAGTAGTAAAAAGATTTAAGAAATGAAGAAACTATTAAATGTAATAATACACCACTCCAAAAGAGACCTGGGAATAAATTATTAACATAAACCTAGCTGAGACCGGTTTGGCTCAATGGATAGAGCGTCGGCTTGGGGACTGAAAGGTCCCGGGTTCGATTTCTGTCAAGGGCATGTACCTTGGTTGCGGGCATATCCCCAGTAGGGGGTGTGCAAGAGGCAGCTGATCGATGACACTCTCTCATCGATGTTTCTAACTCTCTATCTCTCTTCCTTCCTCTCTGTACAAAATCAATAAAATATATTAAAAAAAAAAAATCCTTGTCCCTCTGGAGCTTACCTTCTAAAAAAAAAAAGTCTTAGCTGGTTTGCCTCGGTGGATAGAGAAGGGTCCCAGATTCGATTCTGACCAGGGGCACATGCCTGGGCTGCAGGCTCAATCCCCAGAAGGGGAGATGCTAGAAGTAGCAGAGCAATGATTCTCATCATTGATGTTTCTCTCTTTCCCTCGCCCATCATCTCTGAAATCAATAATATATTTTTAAGAGATAATTAAAATTTTAAAATGCCCTATCCTATAAAATAAAGATCTAATATGCAAATTAGACTGAATAGCTGAACAACAGTCCAGATGAAACCTGGGATGTGAGGGCCGAGTCCCTTGCACAAATTTCGTGCATCAGGCCTCTAGTCCTATATAATATTATATAATAAAAGGGTAATACGCAAATTGACCACAACAGTGGAATAATCAGCCGCTATTATGCATACAGACCACCAGGGGGCAGACACTCAATGCAGGAGCTGCCCTCTGGTGGCCAGCGCGCTTCCACAGGGGGGAGCACTGCCGCCTCTGTGGCAGTGCTAAAGATGCCCAACTAACGGCCCAAGCTGACAGGTGGACATCCTCCGAGGGTTCCCTGGCTGCCAGAGGGACATCTGACTGTCAGCTTAGACCCAATCCCCCACGGAGCGGACTTAAGCCAGCAGGTGGACACCCCCTGAGGGCTCCTGGACTGAGACAGGGAACAGGCCTGGCTGAGTGGGACACCCCCAAGTGCACAAATTTTCGTGCACCATGCCTCTAGTTTACCTATAAAACTCTAAACATAAAGAAATCATTTCTTTTCAATGACTAAACAGGTTTGCTGCCCTTGCTGGTTTGGCTCAGTGGAAGAGTGTCAGTCCTAGGTTCGATTCCCAGTCAGGGCACATGCCCAGGTTGCAAGCTCAATCCCCAGTGTGGGAGTCCAGGAGGCAATCAGTGATTCTTTATCACTGATATTTCTATCTCTCCTCTTCTCACTTCCTCTCCCTAAATCAATTAAAAAAAAAAACAAAAACATCTGTGTGTTTTCTTAAACTGGTCATTTAATCTGATCTTTTGCAATAAACAAAAATATCCTACAATTGTCAAAGAAATAAACATTCACAATTTCCCCCCAATATTGTTTCCATATCACAAGGAAGTAAAAATTAAATACAGGAGTAAAATCCTTACCTGCATGCAGTGTATAGCCAAGCCAGGTCCTGTGTACAACTTCTTATGACATATATGGCACTTAAAATGTTTTGCTTTTTGGTGCTGTATAAGGATCTTCTCATCATCAAAATCTCTATTACAGTACCTGATCAAGAGTGTTAAGGCACAAAACTAACACAATGATGCTGCCTCTTAAAAAATGCACCTGCCCTATAACATTAAATAGCAATACCATTAAAATATAGAAACAGCTAAAAGCAAAAAAGCACTTTACAGAAATTTTGTTTTTGATATTTATTACACAATTAGGGATTAACTTGCCATGGAATTTCCTGGAAGCCCATACTCTCTTCATCACCCCTAAACACAGTTGTTTTTTTTATTTTTTATTTTTGTGTTTAACAGAGGTTTATATGAAATTAACTCTTCTTTTGTTCACTATTTCAACATTTACAAATGGGTCTTGTGGATTAGAGGGATTCAAAATTAAAAAAAAAAAAAAAATCCCCGACTTTATGTCAAGACAGATTTACAAGTACGTAGAATTCATTCATTAGATAATGAAAAGTAATCGAGAAATGAAGATTTACCTAATATTTAGAACTTAAGTTTATCATCTAAAAATATTCAAAGTGAATGACTCAATTTAACCTATAAAGTTTTCAACTCCCTATGCACTTATGTTGCCAAGGATCGTATTTAAACTCAATGAGTTACATCCATAAAGCAGAATTACCTCAACAATAGTAAGATTTCCCTAAAAGAACATTACAAAATCCGTGACCGTTCAACTATTACAAAAATAAACGCAGTTCTGTAGCAGTTTTTAGGGATAATAGGCGTTCTTTTTTTTTTTTTTTTTTGGTCCTACCAAGCTTGCTAGCTAGCTACAAAAATCTCCACCCCAAAGAGAAGACTAAAGCGCCAGTTAGAGACGCGGAAGCTAGTTCTTTCCCCGCCACACACACCCCGCGCGCGCAAAAAAAAAAAAAAGGGGGGGGGGGGGAAGGAATATTTGAAACCCGAGTCGACTAATCCATCGATTCTTTTTAAAAATAAAAACACGGAAAAAAGTGGCAGACTGGCTCCGGAAGCTTTCCCCTCACCAGCCACAGCGCCAATCAGAGCATTTTACTTGAAGAAAATCCCTTTGTTGAACCGTCCCCCAAACCCCGGGGAACAGCCCAACAGTCCTCCGGGGACACTGTCCTTGACGGAGGGGTCCGAGCCGCCGCCCGGCGGGTCACCGCTCACTCCAAACCTGGAATCTCCTGAGTCACCGAGCCCAACGCCCCACAACCAGCAGAGCCTCCCACCCTAGAGACCCCATTTACCTGGAAGACTTCGCAAATCCGACTCCAGCCGCCAGGTTACCCCTCACCCCCCACCACAGGCCTCGATCCCAGACTCTCGCCGCCCTAGGCCAAAGCCAGGCCTCTCCCAGACCCCGTCACCAACCACCGGCGCCGCGGCGCGGCCGCGACTCCAAACGGACAAAGGATACCAGCACCACGGCTTCAGCTGCTTCTTCTTCTTACGGCCCATAACTGCGCCCCGCCGATAAAGCAAGAAAGGGAGGAGAAAATAAGCAGGAAAGTCGAGGCGAAAGCCGCTGGCTCTTCAGACCCAACGGCCACCGCCGCGTCCCACAGGAAACAGACACAAAATGGCCGACGCCCTCGCTCGCCGCTCTGCCTCCCGTCAGGCACTGCGGAAGGGGGCGGGGCCAGAGAGGGCGGGTCACGTGACGCAGCCCTCCGCCCTGAGTGGGTGGTGACGCGCAGCCTGAGGGCGGCCGCCATCTTGTCTGTGTCCATGGCCCTTCCCCCCGCAGTCGCCCGCTAGGCTCGTTTCTTTGCAAAGGAGCCGGCTTCTTAGGAATGCCCAGGAACTTGCGAATGGAAGGGGAAATCCGAGGGGAGGGGCTAAAAACATTACCGGCGTCGTTAAAGGCAGGCTGTCAATAAAGGTTCATTGAGACAGCGCCCAATGTTTCAATTCTGTGTCCATTGCCCGGATGAGTCCTTTCTGTAGGAAGTGTTGGGCATTTGCTTAAATGTTGAGTCAAAGAAGTCGCAGTCACAGTGTGGGGACAGAGGAGCGAGGCGCCGGGCAGTCAGCGCGGCGAGGAGGGAAACGAGGCGCGGCGAGGTCTCCGGAGAAAACCCTCCATCGTGGCGGTGGGTGGTTACCGGGAGGCTTCCAGGCCCTGCAGCCCGCGTGGCTGGTGGCTGACCACCGACCTTTGAACCTGGAGGTCACGGTTCTCGGTCAGAGGACCTACCTGGGGATCCCCAGCGTGGGGCGTGCAGGAGTCAGACAATCAATGATTCTCATCACTGATGTTTCTCTTCCCCCAACCCCACCCCCCTTTCTCCTTTCCTCTGAAATCAATAAAAAATATTTAAAAAAATAAAAAAGAGCCTTAGCTGGTTTGGCTTACTGGATAGGGCCATCAGCCTGGGGACTGAAGGGTCCCAGGTTTGATTCTGGTCAAGGGCATGCACCTGGTTGAGGGCACATCCCCAATAGGGAGTGTGCAGGAGCAGCTGATCCATGATTCTCTCTCATCGATGTTTCTAGCTCTTTATCCCTCTTCCTTCCTCTCTGTAAAAAATCAATAAAATATATTTATAAATAAATAAATAAATAAATAAATAAGAAAGAAAGAAAGAAAGAAAGAAAGAAAGAAAGAAAGAAAGAAAGAAAGGTTTCCTGAAGGGCAATGGGAACTAGTGAGGTGGAGGCCAGCGTCTCATTACGGGAGCAGAATGCGCCAGCCTTTGAGGCTGAGCTCTGCAGCTCCTAGGAAGGGGGCTGGTGGCCAGAGAACCCAGGGGGACTGGCTGCAAAGGCGACCTCTGCAGGCCCCAGGGGCAGTAGGAGCAGCCAGCGGGCTTCATGCTGAAGGCTTTACTTAGCGACTGGCGTTTTAAGAGGACAGAGAACAGTGCAAGATGAGAGAGAGAGAGAGAGAGAGAGAGAGAGAGAGAGAGAGAGGAAGAGAGAGTAGGTGGTTCAGAGTCCATGCGCCGATGCCTCCCTGCATGACTTGGGGCCAAGCAGGTAAGCTTCCTCTGCTGCACTTGGGAACAGCGTGTGGCCCTTAGACATAGCTATTGGTGTAAATTTTATGTTACTATTGAAAGGAAAACTAATAGCAGGCATCCCTGAAGCACTTACTGTGCACCAGGCATCCCGGTAAGTTGTACATAACTTGTCTCCATAAGCCTGGGATGGAGGTGCTGTTATTATTACTCTGTTACTAGAGACAAAAAAGAGGTTGGTTTGGCTCAGTGGATAGAGTGTCAGCCTGAGGACTGAAGGGTCCGGGGTTCGATTCTGGTCAAGGGCATGTACCTTGGATGCACGCACATCCCCAGTAGGGGATCAATAATATATATATTTAAAAGAGGCTTACCAGCGTTTAAGTCATTTACTCAAGATCACAGAAGTAAGTATGGAGCTGAATTAGATTTGAGTTTTAGAAAAAACACTGGATTGGTGGAGGCTAAGAGGCCAGACATAGAATGGGGCAGTAATCTGGGTGAGAGAAGAAACTGATCTGAAGTAGGATAGTGGGAGCAGGAAGTCCTTTATTCATTTCTCCTAAAGTAAGGAAGCAAGCAAATTAATTTTAGTGCTTGGTGCTTTACCAGAAACAAAAATGGAAAAAAAAAAAATGTAAGGGAACAAGAATGTCCACCCTAGTCTCTTCTGTATAACATTGTATTGGTGGTCTAGCCAGGATGATCAGGCAAGAAAAAGAAATAAAAGGAATCCAGATTGGAATGGAAGGAGTAAAACAGACAACCAGACAACCAGTGGGTCCTGGCTGCCTGTCATTGCTTGAGCCAATTCAGCAGAGACAGGGGTGAATCACATATAAGCATTTATTCCAATAATGCCAGCAGCATGGGAGAGCAGCAGGTCATCCATGAAAATCTACTCAGCGCCCCTCCATAGCCAGCTGCTTGTATTGGGTAGAAGCACAAAGATTACAAGGGGAAGAAGGCAAAAGGAATAAGAATGGGTCTGATGGTTACAGGTCGCACGCTGGGGCTTGCAAAGGGTCAGTGCTCTATTGTTCTAAGCTACAAAGTTGTTAATCTTTTTGTGATGATGGGCAGTTCTAGGAAAAGGAGGACGGACTGCATTCCCAGGTTAACTCCCTCTTCCTGGGGCGGACAGCTCTCAGCCACGTTGGAATGTCTTTCTCTAATCAGAGCAACAATTACAGTTTACAGAGCATGATTAATATTTCTGCCCCTAACAAAACCATCTCTATTCGCCGATGGCATGATCTTGTTAGGGGTAGAATTGGGTCATTGTGTCTCTCCACACACACACACAAGGAGAAATTGAATTGAAGTACAAATCTCCAGTACCTCAGAATATGACCTTATATGGTCATATTGATTACAGAAGTAATCATGCTAAGGTGAAGTCAATAGGGTCAATAGGTTTCAATATGACGGCTGCCTTGATTATTTATTTATTTATTTTAATATATTTTATTGATTTTTGACAGAGAGGAAGAGAGAGGGATAGAGAGAAACATCAATGAGAGAGAAACATCGATCAGCTGCCTCCTGCACACCCCCTACTGGGGATGTGCCCGCAACCAAGTTACATGCCCTTGACTGGAATCGAACCTCCTTTCTATCCACGGAGCCAAACCAGTTTTGGCATGAATGCTACCCTGATAAAAAGAAGAAATTTGCCCTAGTCGGTTTTGCTCAGTGGATAGAGCCCTCAGACTGAAGGGTCCTGGCTTTGATTCTGGTCAAGGGCATGTGCTCAGGCTTGATCCCTAGTAGGGGGCACGCAGGAGGCAACCAATCAATGATTCTCTCTCATTATTGATGTTTATATCTCTCCCCCTCCCTTCCTCTCTGAAATCAATAAAATTTTATTTTAAATAAATAAAAATTTGCCCTAGCCGGGTTTCTCAGTGGACAGAGCACTGGTCCTCAGACTGAAGAGTCATAGGTTCCATTCCAGTCAAGGGCACTTACCTCTGTTGTAGGCTTCAATAGCTGTGTCTCTCACATTGATGTTTCTCTCTGTCTCTTCCCATCTCTTCCACTCTCTAAAAATCAATGGGCTGGAACCAGTTTGGCTCAGTGGATAGGGCGTCGGCCTGCAGACTGAAAGGTCCCAGGTTTGATTCTGGTCAAGGACATGTACCTTGGTTGTGGGTACATCCCCAGTAGGGGGTGTGCAGGAGGCAGCTGATCAATGTTTCTAACTCTCATCGATGTTTCTAACTATCTCTCTCCCTTCCTCTGTAAAAAATCAATAAAATATATTTTAAAATGTTTTAAAAATCAATGGAAAAGCATCCTCAGGTGAGGATTAACAAACAAACAACAACAACAAAAAGGAAATTGGAACAGATAATGTATAAAAGGAAGACCACTATCTATCAAGGATAATCCTGCTGACACCTTGATTTTAGACTTCCAGCCTCTAGAATTGTGAGACAATACATTTTTTTGTTGCTTAAATTGCTCAGTCCATAGTACCGCCCTAACAAACAAATACAATTGTATTTAGGAAATCCTAAGGAATCCATAAAAAGAAATAAATCTTTTTAAAAAAATACATTTTATTGATTTTTTTACAGAGAGGAAAAGAGAGAGAGAGAGAGTTAGAAACATCAGACCCTTCAGTCCGCAGGCCAATGCTCTATCCATTGAGCCAAACCGGTTTGGCTCAGCAAGAAATAAATCTTGAGCTACTAAGCATTCAATAAGGTTTACAGTACAAGATAAAAATACAAAATTCAATTGTAGTTTTATACACTAGCAGTAAACAATCTGAAATTAAGAAAACATTTTCATTTATAATAGCTTCAAAAAGAATAAAATTTAGGAATAAATTTAACAAAATATTGTAAGAAATTAAATATCTAAATAAATGAAAACAAAACAGTTAATTGAAATTAACTGTTTGATTAAATGGCTACAAAACATAACTTTAGGTCAAGTCATCTTCAACTCAATTTAGTGGTATTAAAAGTTCTAGAATCTGGCCAATGTGGCTCAGTGGTTGAGCATCAACCTATGAACTGGGAGGTCACAGTTCGATTCCCAGTCAGGGAATGTGCCCAGGTTGTGGGCTCGATCCTCAGTGTGGGGCATGCAGGAGGCAGCCAATCAATGATTCTCATCATCAATGTTTCAATCTCTCCTTCTCCCTTCCCATCTGAAATCAATAAAGAAATAAAATAAAGAGTTGTAGTGCCAGAGTGGGTTTGAATGCACCTTTGCCATTTACTGTGGACAAAAGTAACTGGCTTACTACTCTGTAAAGTGGGATAATAATAATAATAATAATAATAATAATAATATCAACCTCGTGGGATTGTGAGAACTAAGTGAGTATCTGTAAAGCACTTAAAAGAGTCCTCATACACAGTAAACACGCTATGTTAACCATTATTTTTCTATAAAGTTAACATGGAATGTAGGTGTATTTTAATATCTTTAATATGGTGTAAGGTGAAACATGCAAGAAAATGATGCCGAGGGGTTGCAAAGCCTTCTAATTCAGCAAAGAGTTCTTGAGCACCGTAGGCCATGTGCTAGGATAGAAGATATATCAATGACTAAGCTGACATGCTAGTGGGGAGACAGACAATAAATACTGTCAGGAGTGGTAAGTGTGAGGAAGATAGGACATGGACTGATGGGACAGCAGTAGAGGTGTGTGT